CTACATGACATACATGTCACTCAAAATCTACAACTCAAACGAGACTAACACACTCAAACTTGTTTTTGGTAACTTACATTTTTTTCAAGCATTTCTCCTGTTTGTCCTGCCAATGATGCACCATACTGCATTGCCATATTAGCCATTGGGTCATTCATACTGTACGGCACATTAGACATTGATCCGGGAGTAGCCATCCCCACTGAGGTATCATAACCAGGCTCAGCACCTGTGGTATCATAGTAATCAGGTTGTGGTTGCGGTGGTGGCTGTGTACTGGTATCATCAAATAACTGTGTTGGTCCTCCTTGAATCCTTCCACCTGCTGCTGTGCCACCACCCCGGTGACTCTTGGCACTGCGGCTTCTTCCTTGTTTCTGTGAGGCTTTTTGGAGGAAACGGTACAGATATACAACAATGACCTTACAATTCCATCCAGTGCTGTGGTCTTCACTATTCTTAACGTGAATCCATATATCATAAAAATAAACTACTGTAGAATACTTTATTTTCGCTTGGAATTAATTTTCACTGAAGAAATAATTCAGTGAAAATGAAATCCAGTGAATATACCTTTTTTCCTATATTTTAACATTCAACTCATCAAAAATCAGTGAAAATAAATTCCATACAAAACACCTCAAAAAGTCTATTCAGCGAAAATAACTTCTAGCTAAAATAAAGTATTTTACAGTATGTCTGCAACACCGATGCATGTAAAGTTATAACAAACAAACAATTTCTTTTGTTTTTACATTGGAAGTAGAAGCAAGACAACTTGCAGCTGAAATAGAGTGCCATCACTAACATAAAATTGTGCACAGTGCAAAATGTATTTCATTGCCATAATTTTCTCATTCAACTATTACCATGAGTAGGAAAAAATGTTTAATAATTAGGTTTAAATATCACGAGAATTGAATACTGCAAAATTTGCACTGCCTTCATGCACACTTTCAGGTTCATTTTTTCCACTGTTTAGGTACACAAGCCATGATCCTACAACCTTTAAAAAATGACAACCCTTCATATGAACGTTTCAAAATCCAGATAAATGCAATTTCCTTCAAAAAATGCTACTAGAAGATTCCAATGACAACTTTTCAGGTCATGATGACATAGACTGCCATTATTTATGAATTTGTGCGACGCACTACGTAATTTTTTATGTTGTATGCATGCACCCAACTTGAATCAGAATCAGAAATTGTAATCTTATAGACATAGTTACAACACAATCACATTTGACATTATTTTCAAAGCTGCCAGCTACAGAAAGATTAATCGTTAACATTATGTAATACATTTATAACACAGCAATTATAACAATAACTACACCAACACCAATTAGATGCTGCTGCTTGCGTGCACCATGTGTGAAAAGCAAAATTAATGCCAAATAGAGTTCTCAAGCAATCTATGTTTTTAATTCTTGGTAATTCTTAGTAGGTTACATCTAGAGTAGATTTTTAATCAAACACTGGCTTGAACTCCATAAAGGTGACTTTCCTAGTGTCCTTTGAAAAATAGATTTTCTCAATATTATTTCTATAAACTAAAGCAATTTATCAAATTTTGCATCAAAGTTCAAGCTCTGTAGTTTATATAATCTTGTCCCCTTTTTTTTTTATATGTTCCTGTGGAAAGAGTAAGAGTGCCAGGGGATGCTTAGTAACAACCAAATCATCTCAGCTACAATTTCACAGGTTAACATGTTATAATTTAAAATTTTAATTTACTCAGCGTTATGATTTTATCATACAGGCTTGGGAAGCTAAAATGAAGTTAAAGCTGAGAAAAAAACAGCCTGGACGCAGGCCTCAATCTGCAGTGACCTGAGAAAGTGGTAGTCACAGCAACTACAACAGCAAGATTTGACAAGGTGATAGTGTATGTACCACTTTTTCAGTACACTACTGACATATAATTAATAATCTTAAACAGGCCATGTCTATTCTCCTAATATAAAGTAAATTGTTCTTGATTGCAATCGACAAATGTACGAGACTAGCAGTATTATTGACCATGTACTGATATTCATATTATACAGACTACCTATATCCGTATTCCAGTTGTAATACTGCAAGTAATTGCTATTCATATGCAAATTATTAGTATTGGTGCATTGGATTACGTCTGTCGTTGACTGTCAAGCTTGAAAATTACGGACTTAGATTCTCGACAAGCTGTTCATGGCCAAACGATCTATAGCTTTATTTTAACAAAGCAGTCGTATGAACAATTATCGACTATTTTACCGATCCTCGGTTCGAAATAGATCATGCCCAAGTGCCAGAAAGCGCAAGTGATTCAACTTTCAATTAGTCAGGCAGTGCAGAGAACGTTTCTATAAAGAAAGTACAGTAAGATTTCTAGTCAAGCAGCAAACACCTAATAACCCAAAACTCAACGTACACTTACGATGTCTGAACCCCGCTGGGGCATCCATTTTTAACGTATATTCGAAAAAATCTGGTACGAAGTGACACTTCCTCGAAGTACGTATAAATTCAATGACACATTGCCTCGATTTCGATTGCCACGGTGTAAGACCGCCTAACTTTATCATTTTATTTACATTCTTTTGTTTACATTCATTACTTGAGGATATCCATCCGTGTACATATTAAATACAACTGTACACCAAAAGCTAACTCCAAACAAAATAAACCAAAATTTTGTAAACTATGCTGTAAACTTTAATTGGAACTAGAAAACGTCACATTTCCTTGCATAAAAAACCTAAGGGGCTTTAAATGTAATTCGCATGCGCAGTTCAATGAAAACATAAACGCATGTGAAAACCGGAACGGAAAGGAAGGTTGAAAGAATCACTCGTGTAGGAAGAAATATGACTTCCCAGAGAGCTGATTGTGGTAATCTCGAATTAAGGTCACAAAGCTGTGAACAAAATTTACTTTCCAGACCAGATGGTTCAGCAACTTATTGTCAAGGTGTGTACCACCGAGATAGTTTACCAGCACCTTAGAAATGTCATTCTTATATCTTATAGCGAGACTACTACAAACCTATGTATAGCATCTGTCACGATTACAAGATCTTACTAAAAATATATATAACTGTAATCAGAACATCGTACAGCATGTAAACAAATCAAAAAAAGGACAACGTACAAAATTAGGGTTAGGGCTGTTCAGAGGTTACATCTGTATAATGCAAGGGTATTTGCTTCAGTTTTTTGGTTGCAAATATTGTGCAGCATTTCTACTAGAAATATACTGGTATATTTTTATATATAATTTGTATATCCTCATGTTGTTGCAGTATTTTTATTTCAAACGTATTTGTTGTGAACACTGAAACTCAGGAATGCATCCTGTGTTTCAGTTTCACACAACCATGGTTCAACATGTCTGGTATTCATAAATAAGCTACCACATCTGTGACATTGCAATTATTACGCCTGAATTAATAATATTTATACTTTCCAATAGGTGACACATCCGTAATTGTGGCAGTGTACGGTCCAGCAGAAGTTAAACAAAGTAAAGAATTTTTAGACAAAGCAACATTGGAAGTGATATTTAAACCCAAGGTTGGGATTCCAGGTAATGCAATGAGTGATGGGTGTATAACATGGCATGTTTTCTTTTATAGTATGGAACATGTAAACTCTTTTGAAACAACTCTCTGTAAAATGGACCACTGGGAGATCCTGTGTTATATGTGAAAACAGGACAAAACAAAGGTTATAGCATTGTAGTGACGTCAACAATTCCTGTGGTATTTGACAAACACGAAAATACTTTTTTGAGTACTTCCATGTTTAATAATGTGCTATACACTCGTCTTGTATTACACAAGAGCCTCGGTTAACCTTTGTTTATGTTTTGTTTTTTATATGCAGGATGCAGTGAAAAATTTCAAGAAAGATTAATTCGTAATACTTGTGAGACAATCGTGTTAACTGCCTTACATCCCAGATCCTCCATAAATATTATTATACAAGTAATGCACAATGCTGGATCTGTATCCTTTTAGACATACATACATAGTATTATGATACCAGTAACAGGATTAAAATAAAATTTAAAATTCTCTATTACTTGAAAATAATTAGCCAAGTGTCAGAAAATAATTTCATAAAAATTGATAAATATAACTAGCTTATTCAAACGAAAGTTTGTATACATATTCAATTTTATGACAGAGCCTATAGATTCTCTGTTATTCAAATGAAGACATCAATGTCAATGTTTTCGATATATATATAAAATAATTCCCCCCCTTATTTGCTGCATATTGATGAGCTTATTTGCATAAAAAATATGAAATGTCAATATTTTTATTTTTGCATTATTTGATGCTACTTTCCTATTATTAGAAATTAATATACAGTTATTATCATGTTGTGTAAATAGTACATGTATGGCTTTGCTAGACGCTGGTTTACCAATGTCATGTTTAGTGGCTGCGGTTACGTGTTCATTAAGTTGTGATGGGGACATTATATTAGATCCAACAAGCCAACAAGAAAAGGTAATCCAAAAAAGCTGAGAAAGAACTCTTGTGTGCTGAGAGTACTAGAGGAATATTTAAAATTTATTCAAATTTCAAGGTTAGCTTATCATACTTAATATTTGTCTGTTATTTGAGATGCACAACGCAAGAACAATGTAATCCACATTATTAACATTTATAATACTCAGAGAAAATTAATTTGATGGTTGTTTACAGTCTGATTTATTCCAGAACACCTCTACCACAAGTTAAATTTAAATCTGATTTTTTTAGATATCAGAAATTGCCTAATGTTTGTGGATTCCCACAGAGCATCTTTGTGCCTTGTAAATGATGTATTTAAACCCAAAACTAGTTACTGGTAGGTAATTACATTTTTTAGAGCAAGATTCATTGAAATAAGATGATTAGTATGTGAGGTGGAAAAGCTGATATCTCAAGTACTAATCATCAAATTTCAATGAAACTTGATACATAGATGTACATACTAGTACATAGATGCTTTGTGACCTGAATAGTTTTAATATGCATGATAATTTAATTGTTTCCATCGTTTTCTTAGGAATTAATTATCAAATTCTAATGAAACTTGGTACATAGGTGGCCTGTAACAAAGCACAGACCTGATTAGTTTTAGGTCAAAATTTGAGCATACTAATTACCTAATTTGCATAATATGCATAGTTGTCAAATTTCAATGAAATTTGGTACATGTAGATGCTCTGCAATAATCCACAGACGTTAATGGTTTAATGCAGAAAACAATGCATTTTCTAATTTAATAGCCAATTTGTGATATCTCAAAAAAATCAGATCTAAATTGAACTTGTGGTATACATACATATGTATGTGCTCTGGAATAAATCAGACTGCAAACTTCAATAATGTGCATCTCAAATAGCAGACCAATATTAGTCTCTAAGCTTCTTGTTTGAAATGCTAATAATAAATTTGAATCAATATTAAATATGCCACCAATGCTCTCAGGACCCAGGAGTTCATTCTAAGCTTTCTTTTGTTTTGTTTTTATGTTTATTTCATTACTTTTTTTTTTTTTACTGTTTTAGTGTGTACAAGTTTCAAAGCATTCAGAAATTGAAAAATGTTATGTCTGATTTGTGGCTGTGATTTCTACATTTTTCACAATCATATTTCCATCTTTTCACAGGAGGCTAAGGCAATTTTAACATTTGTATTTGAAAGTCGGGATAATGAAATCATTACATCCAATACGCATGGTATATACTCTATAAAACAGGTACAGGGTCACGTTTCATTTATTGCATTTGTATTAGTAGCACATGCGTTTATGTAGGTTACAGAGGTATGTCTATGGTCAAAATTAGTGATATTTCAATAGTTTGGAATTGAGCAAATTGCAATATTTGCTTTATTTGAGCTTCTATTGGAGATAGGCTTTTGATAGTGCAAATACAGTATTGCATTTGAAAGTCAGAATAATGAAATAATGTATATAAATAATATAATGAAAAAATAATGGGGGAAAAAATGTAAATCTACCACCATAATATTTGTTTTTCATGAAAATATGACTGAAATTTATATTTCAGCAGAAAATATTGCTTTCATGAAAGGAATCAGTGATGTTAGAGTCAAAGATTACTTCATGACATTATTTCAAAATAAGTATGTGAATCCCAATATAGTTTCAAGATTGTTCAAAAAGACGATTAAGAATTATCCACAAAATCTAAAACTCAACATTACCAAACACAGTTTCCCTACCTGATTCAGCGCATTTGACAATAACTGTATTGTTACTGCCACTGTGTTTGAATAAATATTATCCCATATTTTATAATTATTTTTCAGTACTACAGCTGTGTAGAAGCATGTCGTAAAGCAA